ACACCAATTGTTCCTTCCCCCTCACAAAGGAATTTTAAATCAGCACCATTTCCTTTTTAAATTAATTTTGTTGCTAGTTCACATTTTAAAATTATAGAGTTGGAATAAAACATGATGGCCATCCAGTCCAATCCCCTTGATATGCGGGAACACAATGAATGTACTTCTAACACATGGCCATCTAGCCTCTGTTTTAAAAAAAACCCAGAGAGAAGACTCCAATGGTGGCATATTCCATTGTTAATAAATTTTATTGTCAGGAAGTTTTACCTAATTAGGTGAAATCTATTTTCCTGTATTGTTGTAGGTTTTGGGGGCTGTATGGCCATGTTCTAGAAGCATTCTCTCCTGACATTTCGCCTGCATCTATGGCAGGCATCCTCAGAGGTTTTAGGTTGTGACCTCACGGCCTCTGAGGATACCTGCCATAGATGCAGGCGAAACGTCAGGAGATAATGCTGCTAGAACATGGCCATACAGCCCCAAAAACCTACAATAACCCAGTGATTCCAGCCATGAAAGCCTTCAACCGTACATATTTTCCTGTAGTTTGAATCTATTCCTTCATGTCTTAGTCTCTGTAGCTGCAGAAAACAAACTTGCTCCCTCTTCATTCTTTGAATATTTAAAAGTGTCTATCATGCCACCTCTTAACTTTCTCTTCTTTAGATTAAACATACCCAGCTTCTAAAGCTACTCCTCATAGTGTATAGCTTCCAGACCTTTATCATTTTGGCTATCATTTTGGCCTTCTTGAATTGTGGTGCCCAGAACTGGACATAGTGCTCCAGGTGAGGTCTGTCCAAAGCAAAATAGAGTGCTATTATTACTTCATTCAGTCTAGGCACTGTACTACTATTGATGCAGCCTAGAGTCATATTGGTGATTTGATTATATTTTATGCTTTCTGCTTGGCAAACCATCTTGAAGACTGTTATACAAATATTTTTAATCCATTCAAAGTAAATTATGCATGTTCGGCAAAAGAAAACCAATTATTTTAAAAATGTTTGTTCACTTTAAGAAATAGGAAAATTATTTCCAGATTTATTAGAATAATTTTCACAATGTAGGATAAACAGATGTTGTTATAATTTATGTTATGATTGAAGTGAATGCAATGTCCCAATCAAATAAGAATATCATTTACTATCAAGGAAGTGTGCATGTTTTGACTGGCAATTTCACAAAGAGGAGGTGACCTCTCAATAGAACAGCATCTGGTTGATATCATACTTGCATCATTCTGAACTTGTTGCAAAATAACTTCTCAAGGGTGTAGCCAGTACTGCAAGATCATGCTGTGTTCTGACATGGGTAGAGATACACATACATGGTAGACTGGGGGTTTAATTATGAAACCTTAAGGCAGGTTTGCCCCTTTTTGTAAATTAAGAAAATGGAAAATGGACAGAGGAAGTCCAGGGATATTAATTGAAAGTCATGGAAATTATGATTAAGATGTGTAAAGGAATTTTTTGAAATGTCTCAATAATGGAACAGTAACGCTAAAGTCAATAAAAATTGACTTGCTAGATTTTGTAGTCAGGGATTATTTCTCCTAATCAGGCACAAAGTGCAGCCCTTCTTCAACAGCACCATACTCTCAAAAATCAAAATGAGATGGAATTAGAAATTGAACTTTTAAAACAGAACTATTGTAATAAAAATAAAAATGTACTGCTTATTCTATCTATTGATTAAAATATTTATATTGCACATTATATAAAAAATTTCAAGGCAATATATAGGCAAAAAGTACTAGTCCAAAATGTACCATACAAAACAGTTGAAGCAATTTAAAACAATATGCTTATACAGAATCAAGCCTGGAGCCTTAGCTCCACAGGCTTTTTAAAATCTTGGTGCCAAAATGAATTCAACGTGGCTGTCATATGGGCTCCACTGCAAACAAGTCCTTTTCCTGTGTCATGCTGCCACTAGTGGGACTCAGAGAAAGGGTCTACAACTGATTCCAATGTTCTATATGCAGACAGTCCCCAAGTTACAAACACCCAACTTACAAATGACTCATAGTTAAGAATGAGGATGAGACACCAGGAGATCAGAGCAATCTACCCCTATCTACTTTGATATATGTTTCTTACATAAAGACACACTTTGAACTACCCCCAGGATGTTTTCCTCCATGCTTAAGATGTCAAGAGAGCACTTGCCTTTTATCATTTGTTTTGTTGGCAAAAACCAAGAGTAGTAACCAGATTACATATTACTTTTGACTTAGCAAAGGAATGGCCACCATTAAAGTTCAGGACTCCTTCAACAAGGGTGGTGTTGACATCTATTGCTTTTTTCAGTAATATCTTACTCCTTGATATTTGCAAGTAGCAACATGACCACAGTCTCTGACTTTCATTCATCACTATAGTCTGGAGGTCCAAGTCAGGGAAGATGCAGCCTTTGGTGCAACAGTACTTTCTTCTGTGACACTTATCCACCTTAGTTAGTTAAATGGTCATCCACATGTGTGAGTCACATAGACCACAAAGAAGAACAGATTGCTTACCTATAATTGTGGTTCTTTGAGTGATCATCTGTAAATTCACACAACCTGTCCTCCCTGCTTTATGTCACTGTCCTTACTGTGATTCTGTAAAAAGTAGAAGTAGCTGGAAGTCCACTTTTTGGTTTTGAAAAAAAAATGCTTTTGTGTTACGTTCTGCAGGAGGACTTTGAAACCTATTTAGAAGGTGCATTGCAGTCCTGGGAGTTTTCAAGAAGGAACAACATTGTGTTTGGCAGGAAGAGGTGGCACACTCAAGTCTAAATGGAATTAGGGGCTGCAAACAAATTTGATCTTCCCTGGGTTTAAGACATTAAATGTATTGATTATATGTGTAAGCAGATGTTTTTGTAAGCAGATTTAAAGGGACCATGTTGGCGCAATGGGTTAAACTGTTGAGCTGCTGAACTTGCTGACAGGAAGGTTGGCGGTTCGAGTCCATGGGATGGGTTGAGCTCCTGCTGTTAGCTCCAGCTAGCCAACCTAGCAGTTAGAAAACATGCAAATGTGAGTAGATAAATAGGTACCACCTCGGCGGGAACATGACCTAGGAGGTGTCTATGGACAATGCAGTGCTTCAGCTTAGAAATAGAGATGAGCACCACCCCCCAGAGCCGAAGATGAAGGAGAAGCCTTTACCTTTATCTGTGTGTCTGTGTTTCATTGTTTCTAGGCATTTAATGTTTGCCTTGTATCTGTATATGCTGGAATCCGCCCTGAGTCCCCTCGAGGAGATAGGGCACAATACAAATAAAGTGTTGTTGCTATTATTATTATTTACTGCTTTCACACATCAACACTAACTAACCCATTGTAAAGATCTGAAAAAATTGTATAACCTCCCATAGCCATATGAAAATATGAAGCCAGAGATATATGTCTGGGTGCGCTTCCATTTTATCCATTGCCACAATTGTTTAAATATGCTTTATAACCAGATAATAATAATAATAATAATAAACTTTATTTGTTACCCCGCCACCATCTCCCCAATGGGGACTCACTTACATGAGGCCAAGCCCAAATGACAATTACAATAAAGAAAACCAAAAACACAAACTGAAACGCGAACAATAAACAATAACATCATAGTTAAATAAAACACATGAATACATAACAATATGAAAAATAAAAAATATGCACAGGCATTATAATGGGCGGGCAACATGTAGTAATCAAGAAGACAAACTGATTAAAACTAATTAAAAAGTCAGGCGAGATAGAAGAGGGAAGCAGGTAATTTACGGAGGAGGGCTCATTCCAGCGATATTAATATTAATTAATATAATATTAATATAATATTAATATTAGATACATTAATATTATTGTTTATGCATCTGAAGAAGTGGGTTTATATAAAAGTTCATGTTAAAATAAAAATTAGTCTTAAAAGTACTATCACATTTCTTTTTTAAAAAATCTCTCTTCCGTCCTCCATTTATTTATTTATTTCTATCCCACTTTTCTCCCAAAGCAGGACTCAAAGTGATGATGTTGAATTGATGTGTCCAACTTGTTTATTTGCGGGGTGGGGTTACAAAATAGATTTTTTTTCACTTAACAGTCAATGTTGAATGGTGTTCGTATCGACGTTCAACAATCAGTGTGCACCTGGAAGATTTTTTTCACTTAACAGTCAATGTTGAATGGCGGTCATATCGGCATTCAACAATGAGTGTGCACCTGGAAGCCACATGCATATGTGATTGAATTGTCTAGTTGTCTTAATATTCTTGAGGGAGTTCTTTGAAGAAATACGTAACATTGCCTATCAATGATCAGTTTGTTCCAGAGTTAATGCTATTGTATATTTTCTCTGGTTCTGATGTCCAGTTATCACATAAGGAACTTGTAACTTTTTTACTTCTAGCTGCTAGACTGTTATTAGAACAACAATGCTAATCTGGAAATGCAGCAATCAAGGTGCAAAAGAGGTTGATTGAAACTCCTATCTTAATGAAAATGGCATTTTAGTATTTGTATTGTTTTAACAGACTTAATTAACCCCCCCCCCTTAATGTAATGGTGACAATCCTCTGAAGTTTATTTATGTGATTTTTGCACTCATATTTCTTGAGTGTGATCTTAATTTAGAAAGCAACAGAGAAATACAATGAAAGACTACAGTGTCTACTGTGCATTCCACATTGAGATAAAAAAATAGTTGGGCAACTTGAGCACACTTGTTGAATTAATAGAGGTTTGAACAATAGACTCCTGTGAGATATCACAAGTTGCCTTTCCAAGTCCCTTTGTTTTGTCTTGTTTCTAAAATAAAATGAGGTTGTTCATTAGTTGCTAGCATTACAAGATAATGTCTCCCTGCAGACACACTACTTTGTTTTCCTCTCTTAGCCCATCTTCCTTTTAGCAGACATTGGTATTATGAAACAAGATCAGAATAATTAAAATAGTATTTTATGTGCTACAGTTTTTTTTTGCAGGGCTTATGATTTCCTTTGTCTAATTTTCATAGATTTTAAGTACATCACAAAAACTGACCAATTCAGGGAATGTTCTGATTGGAAGTCCATACAGTACAGCACCAGTCATGGTCATGCAGACACACATCACAGAAGCAACAGGTTGGATCCCAGGGTAAATATGCCATGTGATTTTATTTATTCTTGCATGTTCATATCATGTTCAACAGTATCTTCATAAATCTGGGAATACGATCATCAATATGTTACTCACTCTGTGACTGTTGTGTGCATACATGCTTCTGCTTGAATTTGGGTCCCTGGTAAAATAAACCCTATTATTTAAAGATTATTATTGAATATTGTTTCTGTACTTTAAAGAAGTTTCATTTATATATTCCTTTTAGTCTGTATCGTACAATTCTTTTCAGTGTTTTCAAAGTGTGCAATGGACTTTTATATTTTGTGTTACTTGTTTTTTTTTCTTTAAAATGTGTAAAATCTGTATGATTTTTAAGTACAGCAGTTGTTCTTACAGGTTCAGTTGCAGCCATTTACATTTTCCTTTTCTTTGTTCTAATCACTCAAGATTGCTTGAGTTCCACATAATTATAATACAAATAATTGCTTGAGTTCTATATAAGCCAAACAATACAGAATATGGAAGTGAAGCTCTTGATATTATTTAGGAAAGCATTCCTTATCCCTCAGCTAGATACTCTTGCCCAAATAAGTGGCAGGATCAGCTATTGATCACCTTCTTGTAGCGAAGGAGTTCTGCTGATAGCTAAACCTGATTTCAGAATTAAGTTACAATCAGTTGACCACTGATCACAAGTCACCTTCAGATTATAATCAATTAGAATGTATAAAAATGAAGTTATTATAACATTTAGAGTGAGAATACCTTAAGTTACAAAACCCATAATGCAATGCAATAATAAATATTTTGATGTCTGATTTTTGCAAAAAAAAAAAAAACCCAAAAAAACCCCTCCCTCATATTTATAGGGACCGAAAAAGAGGCCGAGACTTCATGGAATCAGATTTTTCAGAAAGGTATGTTACATAAATGTAGCTTTCGAGTAAAATATGCTAACTATTTGAGTTTGGTAGAAATTTTTCATTTTTAACTATTGTATTTTCCACAATAACTTTATTTCTGTATTAGAACAAATGTTTTTCACCATTGCACTCATGGGCTACATTACAAACAAATTATGCAAGTCAGGATTGGGAAATCACAATATCAGCTGCAATGAAAAAAAGATGACATAGTTAGTAGTTGCATCCATGGAAGTAGGAAGCTTCCAGCACTGAGCTACATAGTGCAACACCTAATTTCACAGAATGTACCTGTGGCAGAATATTTGTGGAGGGGTTTCACAATGCATTTGTTATAAATGAAACATTGGTTAAATGAACTGGTGCTTTCTGCAAGTTCAGTTCTGGACTGCTGTGCATGACTAAAATGTTGGGTTGCAGCTACAAGAACTGAATTCTGTTGCTTGTTTGTAGAAAGTTGTAGAAGCTTAAAGGGTAAATATTTATAATGGTGTTAATGTGCCCTTGTCATTCTCCTGTCAGTTTAAACTACAAATATAAAACTTTGTGCTTTCATCATTATTTTTAAGATTCTTTATTAAACATTTTAAGTTGTAATTAATAACTTTAAAATATGCCTATAAATACAATAATACCATAAATGTAATACTGTATTCATAGAATACTTTAAAGTTATTAAATACTATGGTGAAGGGGAACTGATGTAGTCCTAGCCAACACAGTCAGTAATTAGCAATGCTGGTGGTTATACTATCTGGAAGGCTGCATGATTCTCACCCTAGTTTCATGGGTTCAATCTAGATTTATTCCCAGTAGATCCGTTAAAATCAATGGTACCTCTTGGTTTCAATTGTCTACTCCAGCTCAATATTCATAGGAAATGCTGACTGTATTAGAATAATTATATCTGAGTTTATTAAGCAGAAATATGCACATAATTTTTGCTTCTAGAGGCAGTCAGTTCGCTCCTCCTTTATACACATTAAAGGAGTAATTCTCTAACCACAGTATCTCATGTGTTCAAAATGGCAAAACAGTAGTTAGAGGAGAAACAATATCTTAAAGCATTGTTTGATGCATATCTAAGGTTTTTTGAAGCTAGCAACCATTATTTTCTGATTCAGACAAAACTGGAAACATAGTTTGATGCAGATCTAAGGTATTTGCTTTTTGAAGCTAGCAACCATTATTTCTTGATTCAGGCAAAACTAGAAACTGTTTAATCTGGAACTTCCAAAGAGTCGTGTGTCAAATTTCTATCACCTTGCTTTGGGTAGCAGTGAAGTAACTGGGATATGAATGTTTTTAGTACATCTACTATCACTGAAATATTTGTTTCATTTAATTAGTCTGTCGTTATTTAACTTTACTAAGAGAAAATACCAGATGCAGAGTTGTGGGAGCAACATTGTCAGCTTCTGAGATTCCAGCAATGACACGGCATCCCCAAATGAAAGGAGATGCCAGGACACATTTATACTTGTAGGCAAATTAGATAGAACCAGAGGTTATTTTGAATAACACCACTGTTTCAGCATTACATATTCATTTCTTTTCCTCAGGGGAAGCAATTTTCAAATGCTGCTACAAGCAATATAACTTAATGAAAGTTAGTAATTGCTCTTATCAAGATCTGATTTTTTTTTCTTCCCTACAGTAAGAGAAGCAAAAAAGAAGATAAAAATGGAAAAGGTCTAAGACATTTTTCAATGAAAGTATGTGAAAAGGTGCAGTGTAAAGGAACAACATCTTATAATGAAGTTGCAGATGAATTAGTATCAGAGTTCACAAATCCTAATAATCACATAGCTACAGATTCAGTAAGTAGAAAAATAAGTAGTTTGCTTGTCTATATATCTATATACGATTGTGACCTGTTTTGACTTTTTGGTGTTAATTTTTCATTGTAATAAAAAAAAACCCCTTATTTTGAGTTGTATCCAGTGATGATGCCATGACACTAGCAGAGTATGCTTATCACGTGGTTCTGATTTTCAATGATTTCCTTCCTAGTGTCTCCTGTTCCTGTAGTAAAGTTATTTCAAAGATCTGTAGTGGTTAGCTCGATATCAAATATCAACCAGTATGTAATTAGTTGGGCATTCTGAGTGTCTCATAGTGTATAGTAAAAATATATAGATAAAAGTGCATACTTTTGTTGCTTTTTTCATTGGCTCAAGTATTAATAATAAAATATGTAATTCTGTGTCTAAGGGTGGAGGTGTGTGAAATTTTCTAAGATTTAGTCCTCTTATTATTCCAAAATTTACAGGTATCACTGGAATAATCGTGTTGGCAGTAAATGAACTATTCTTGGTCTCTGTTCAAATCAAGCAAAACAGAGACCTTTAATGAATGATAGTTTTCTGCAGCATTATAGAAGAAATGGGATATAAAATATGTATTTTGTTTCAGGTGTGCAGTGAAAGAGGCAAATTTTGTGTAACTTGCTTCTCCGTGTGCTCGTTGGGGAAAATGCTACATTTGAAGTTATTCTGTGGAGCAAAAATGACGGACTACTTGTTAATATAAATGCCCTAAAGCAGCAATTACTCATTTTCCACTACTCTATAGAAATGTCTGGGACTCACAGTACATTACTTAATAATTTCTGTCATATAAACTAAGGGATATAATATTATTTATTATGAAGTACATTTTATATATTATATAATGATAATGGTTGAATAACACACCTGGAATTTCAAAATCCAAAATTGTTTACATGGATGTCTGAGATAGTGACACTTTTGCCCTCTGACAGTTCAATGTACACAAACTTTGTTTCATACACAAAAGTATTTAATATATTGTGTACAAAATTATTTTCTGGCTAGATGTATATGAAACTGAATGAGTGGCATCTCCAAGATGTTTCATTATCAGTATTTGCAAATAAAAAGGTAAAGGTAAAGGTTTTTCCTTGCTATTAAACTTACTCTGGGATAGTGGTGCTCATCTCCATTTGTAAGCTGAAGAGCCAGTGTTGTCCATAGACACTTCCAAGGTCATGTGGCCGGCATGACTGCATGGAGTGCCATGACCTTCCTGCCAAAGCTGTACCTATTGATCTAGTCACATTTGCATGTTTTCGAACTGCTAGGTTGGCAGAAACTAGAGCTGACAGTGGGGTCTCACTCCGCTCTCCGGATTTGCAAGTTCAGCAGCTCAGTAGTTTAATCCGCAGTGCCACCAGGGGCTCCTTTGTATTTGCAAATACAGGTATTCAAACATGTTTTTAGAAATCTAAATCCCAAGTTCTTCGGTACACAGCCTTTTTGATAAAGGATACTTGATCTGTATTCTGTCTTAATATTTTTCTTCAGCACTAGTAGCATTTGTCAGTACCTATGCTGTCATCTGAATATTATAAGTCTTACATTTAGCTGATGAGTTGTTAATAGAAAAAGATACTGTAGACTGCACCTGCAGCATGTTATAATTATGAGTCTGGATAGCTGGTGGAGAGTTAACTTGATTGATAATTAGGTCCTGGTTTAAAAAATGTCTCTATCATTGAATAAAATGTAGGTAGAGTACTGCCATTCTTGATTGTTCCACGGTCTTAACCAAACAACAGAGTGCAAACCTTTGTCTTGCAATACAACAAAGTGACAAAATTTTAAAATCCACCTTTCAAATAATTGACAAATCCATATATGTATCACCGTTTGTTTGCAGGCTAAACAAGACTATGTATGTTTGTGGGAAGGATGTATGTGGGAAGGAAAGACAGCTACTATTATTTTGATGTTCCCTGTATCTTCATTTTCCATGACATTGGTTTTAAAGAGCAGTTCTAGCGCTCACAGTAATATCAAACTTAAAGTGAAAAACTCAATCCATGTTCTATTTTTGATTTCCCTTGTTAGCTGACAATATATTTAACAAGGTTGCATTTTAAGCAGGCTTATGATCAGAAGAATATTAGACGGAGAGTTTATGATGCACTCAATGTGTTGATGGCAATGAACATTATTTCAAAAGAGAAAAAAGAAATCAAATGGATAGGTCTTCCTACAAACTCAGCTCAGGAATGTCAAAAGCTAGAGGTGAGTAAAGGGAGGAAAATGTGTATTGATCCCATCTCATTCTGTGCTTATCAAAAGGGGATTTGCATTCTTTTGTTTTTATGTTACTTTATATATTTAGAATAACTTGTAGAATGTTGTATTTATATATAATACTAGGAAAGGTGGTGTGAGAAATTGTTATTAATTGCAATTATACATAAATAAAGACAATTATAGTAGTAACATTTACAATCCATAAAACATTTTACACTTGTTTCCATAAAATTATTTCTGAAATGGCAGTTTTTTAAGTGTCAAAGTTTGCTGTTTTTATGGATATAGCACCACTGATGTACATGCTTCTGTCCAAAAATTAAAAAATAAAACAACCATGCTAAAGTAGTAAAATCTGATTTAAATTTCTGACATGTTTGATCAAAATGTTCCAAAGAGGTTGACAGATCAGATCCAAATTCAATTCTGGTTTTCATTTTGGTCCCATAAGATATAATGCGCAAGGTTTGGAGATTTCTGTTGTTGAGCATGTGGATTAGCAAGCATAACAAATGAAGGCTAACACTTTCAGAAATTATTTAGATTTTATGAATATACAGCAAGTTTAAGCGTGAGAATCACTGTATAGACTGTTAGATAGTTACTTCTGCCTTATGTTAAAATACTGCTTAACTTCTCAATTATTGATTTGCACAGTCCATTGCTCAGACACACAAAAGGCAAAATGTTATTGTAGCATTTATATCTATATCTATATATATCATATATCTTATTGTTGCATTCATTTTAAGATGGAAAGGCAAAAACGTATAGAACGAATAAGACAAAAGAGAACTCAGCTGGAAGAACTCCTATTGCAGGTACATTTTTTCCAAAACTGTACAGCCCACTTCTATACAAATCTGTTGTGTTATGCATAAACTGTCTTATATTAGCAGAGGACATGCTGCAATTGTTTAAGTTATATTCTGTAATGTTGCTGCCTATTTGAAATACAGCAGGGATGGACAAAGTGTAGGACACAGGTTGAACATGGTTTTTTGAATACCTTGGTATAGCACCTCAAGCTCCCTGATCCCATAAATTTCCATTGCAATTTTTTTATCTGCAAAACACCCAAAAGCTGAAAATATGGTGCTTTGTTTCTCTAGCCCCAAAACAAACAAAAATGCACCTAAACTTGAACAGACTAACATTTGTAAGTAATGTAGTATCTCTTAGTATGTGCCAGAACACATTAGTGTTGTCTGCACAACATGACAGGGGATAAATGACCACCATCCCCTGCACTGTTTCCCACTCCTAAAATATGTCCCGATTCCTAATATGCCCTTATAAGAATTCATACTGTTTTGTTGAACACAAAAGTGAACAATGAGTTCTGTGTCATGCTCTGCCTTACCTCTGCTAAGGGACATTTTCTTAATTAATTTGGGTTTAGTTGGACATTTCTACAATTAAAAAACAACTGTTGCTGGAGTACGGTATTAAAACATCAACTTTCCTAGTATCCAATGCTGCTCCTAGTACTGTTATCCATTATACATTATACTATCAATTATGAGGCCATAATGTAGGTAAATAAATATTTTGCATTTAATTCTAACCATTTAAACTTCTCTCTACAGCAAATTGCTTTCAAAAACTTAGTACAAAGAAATCAGTACAGTGAACAAAATACCCAGGGCCCTCCAGCAGTGAATTCTACCATTCAACTACCTTTTCTCATAATAAACACCAGCAAAAGAACAGTTATAGATTGCAGCATCTCTTCTGACAAGTGAGTGTTTTATACAAGCACGTGCTGGAGTGTTTAGTCCATTTTGCAGTGAACTTGACTTTTCATATCTGTCTGTCTGTCTGTCTATTTATCTATCTATCTCATTCTCTCTCTCTCTCTCTCTCTCTCTGTGTGTGTGTGTAAAGTTGGGTAGATATATATATAATCTGTGCACTACCATATTAATTCTAGTAGAATAGAGCCCCTAGGTTGTTTTGTTAAAGACAGAATGTGGGGAATCAAAACAACATGTTTTTCCCTTTCTTCATTACTCTGTAATATAAAACTATACCTTTAGGTGCTGTTTTTACTGCTGTCACTATTTGCAAGAATAAACTTGTGGTACAATTCATCCTTATTCCTTCAAAGAATTAGCTCATTTCATTGTCTTAGTAATCTGATTTACATTGATGATAGCTATGAGAGGAATATGTTTTAGCAAACTGAAAGTGTAGTCACATTTTGTAAGCTTCCTCAGCTGAGGAATTAGGTAACCTGTGTTCTGTGTATGCACAGTTCCTATTGTTAAGTATCCAAATATTTGATTGTGGTGCTTAGGATTTCATAATTTATAATCAGCCTTGTTGAAGGCTTTCACTGTTAAATGTCTTTATAATGAAAGTTCACTTACATTCATATGTACTATGTCACCGTATAAATTTTTGCACCTTGGCTACATTGTAAACTGAACATCATTTTTTCCTGAGAAGCCCCTATTTGGCTCAGAAGGCAAATAGAATTTCTGAGTATGTACAGATTCCTGAGTAGAGATATAACTAAAAAAACGAAGTAGAAGTGCTTCTTACCTTTTCTTCTTTAGCATAATAAAACTTGGTACCAGAGTTCAAAATGACATGGACAGGAGTAGGGCCCTGCCCTACAAAAAAGAACCAGCCCCACACATTTCAGCAAACGTTTTATTTAGAAGTAGCAAGTTGAACACCTTGGTCAGAGAAGCATTCCACAAATGAACAAGAAACATTTCAAACATTTTAGAAGCCAGTTGAAAGCTTCTTAAAAATACATGCAGGATTATTTTTTTTTCTTTCAACGGTGTCTACTTCTATTAAGATTTTCCTTTTGGTGGTAAAACTTATGGACCTATGCTTGGTTTTTTATAGTAAAATATAGGTAGCTCGTGAGACAGGTTTACCTCTTCCTGCTTTTTTTGTGTTCACACATTCTCAGTAAGGGATTCTGGAGGCAGAACTCACATCTATAGTGGGATCAGCAGCAGTAGAACATTTCACTGTTTATGTTAATACTATCTGATATCTCTCTAGCCCCCCTTCAACATTTTTCCAGTGTTAGTGTTTTAATCCAAATATAAATATATAAAAACGAAGGAAGAGTATGGGGGAGAGCTGGTTGGCATTAAAAGTGTTTACAAAAAGGAGCTTCTTTGTTAGAGGCTTTGTTAACAAAGGTATGCTGATATGTAGTTTTCCAAGGGGTATGCTGTACATTGCAGAGGAAGAAGTGAGTGCATATTAAACCTGAAAGAACACAAGAGCAGCATACAAGTTACCTAAAACATCAATGGTAATTTCTTTTTGTCCTCTCTAAACTTGTTTTTGCACTTTATTCCAAATCTTTGCTATTTTTTTGCTAGGAGTACGGAATACAGTATTTCCTCGCTACTTTGTGGTTTGCTTTTAGCGAACTTGCTGTTTTGCGGGTTTTGAAAATATCAATAAAAATATTAAATATTTACGTCCAGTGAAGGCCAGGGACCCCGGAAGTGCGGGCACAACAGGGAAGGCCTGCCTCCCTGGCCTCCACAGATCCCGGAAGTGCAGCGGCCTGAGGCGCAGCAGGGTGGGTCTGCCTCTCTGGCCTGCTGCTGCCTGTGTGGCTCTGGAAGCCAGGGAGGCAGGCAGGTGCCCTTGGGATGGACCGGGAGGTGGGTAAGAAAATAATATATAAAATATATAAAGTAATGTATAAATATTAAATTAATATGGCATCCCTACTTTGCGGATTTTCACTTATCATGGGTCCTGGAACGGAACCCCCGCAATACGTGAGGGAACACTGTGTCTGCATACCTTATATTTCCTTCCTCCAGTTTTCACACCTCCTTCCTGAGTGTAATCCAACTCACAGATAAATGCTAATCAACAGCAGTTTGTAACAGTGTACTTATAAGCTGCCCAAATAACATTTGCCAAGCTTAAATCATGTAACTAAAGGGAACCGTATAAAACTTTTGCTTCAGGTGTTCTAGCAAACTAAAACATACTGAAGCCTCAATGTGATATAGGTCCAAGATGAAGATACTATGAAAAATACTAATTCGGTTTCATTATTCTCCCACTGAGGCATTGAAACATTACTCACCTGATATTGCAGTGAAAAATACTAGCAAAAAAACCCTCATTGTCTCAGGTGCTGTATAACTGTTTGTTTGAAGGAAGTGTAGATTGAATCAGCATTTTTGTACTCTATGAGCAATGGACCATACTTCAGAAGCGATAAATCAGCAGAATTGATTCATAGCTGCAGCTGTGCAAATGCTGTGCTTCAGTAAATTCTGTTCCAGTTATGATATTTCATAGAAAACACGAGAGCTTTGGAAAGGAAGGTTTCATTGAAGAATTGGAAAGCTTCATTAGAAAAAAGGACACCATGCAGAAATAGTAGAATATAGCTTGTCCTTCTTTGCTAGTGATTCCAGATTATATCACAGTATGTCATATTCTTTGGAAGAAGGTTTCTCAGCCAGGGTTCCCTGGAGTCCTAGAGTTCCTTGTGAAGTTAACAGGCATTCCACAAGAGGTTGAGATTTTTTTTAAAGAACGATAATAATTATGATGTAGAGGTTCCTTGGGACCTATAATGTTTATGCATAGGTTTCCTGAAACTTTAAAATTATTTCAGGGGTTCTTCCAAGGGTAAAACATCTCATAACACTACTAAATAACTTGTAGAGGAGCAATCTGTGAAAAACTGGATTATTTGTAGTAGAAAGAGGTGTTTTGCATTAATTGTCAAAGTACCAATAGTTTTACAGAGCACTGGTAGGGAGTGCACCACTCTTACATGGGGTAAAGTGGGTACCTGTTGTGAACCTATCCATTGATACTTCTAAAAGCATTTTTGCTGCAGCAGGATGTGGGCGGCATCTAGTTATTCTTTCTTAAATTTCCAGTGCCTTGAGACATGTCAGGCAAGTGTGAAAGCCACTAGAGATTATGAACAACTTCTTGGTATTAAAACTTGCATCTGCTTGTGTCTTATGTGTAGTTTTTGCAATTATGAAATAATTGCAAAACCTGTTTTCCTATTTGCACTGTTGACTGTTTTCAGGGATCTCTTCATTTCATCTGTCACAGCTTATATGGAGGTAGAAGTAGTAATAAATCTTAGGACAGAATTTATTTTCTTTTATAAGTTGACCAGCCAGGAGTCTGGAATGTAAAGCTTTCTTGGGTTTCTATCTAATTTAAATGCCACTGAAGATATCTTTATGATGTCAAGTACAATGCAGTTGTCATAGCCGATTGAAATAATAGATCTTATATAATGATCAAATGGTATATTTGAGCTTCTTAGTGTCTGTGGTTTTTCCTCTGTGCTTCTGTTGAAACTGAAAAAAAAGAATCTGTTTCCTCTGCCTTCTAAATACACAATATCTAGCTCTGCATTGTTTATATAGGCATTGAATATTTGCCTGTTACTATGTTGGAAGATGGCCTGCGTCCCCATGGGGAGATAGGGTGGGATACAAATGAAATTATTATTATTATTATTATTATTATTATTATTATTATTATTATTATTATGTTATTGCTGATATCATATTGTTTTTTTACCCCCCTTTTCCACTTACAGAACTAGTTTACTGTTTTTCTTTGAAATGTGGCAAATATTCAAAAACATTTAGCCTACTGATGCCTCAATTAATGTAATTTTATTGGTATCTATTTTTATTTTGAAATTTACCAGTAGCTGCTGCATTTCCCACCCTTGGCTTATACTTGAGTCAATACATTTTCCTAGTTTTTGCAGTAAAATTAGGGGCCTCAGCTTATATTTGGGTCAGCTTATACTCGAGTGCATAAGGTAATAGCCATTCTTAATAATAAGAATTGTTTCTGGAAATACTATGTCACCCTAAAGAGCAAGTCATTCTTATTCTAATCAGTATAGATCTTTCCAAAGTAAATATGAAGTACTCTTAAACTGAAATAAAGGTGGGAGGGGGATTCTGTGTTTTGGTGTAGAGCAGGTTAGATGACCTTTAAAATCCACTAAGTTTACCACAAGAACAAGTTCCGGCTTAAACAAGATTTTCCCTTAACTTTGAATCTGTTTAATGAGGGAGAAAAATTTATGGACTCCTATTGCCTTGAATGGAAAAATTATTTTTAATTAGGAAATATTTGATCCTGCTGAGATGGCAGTTATACAAATACAATCAAGAGCTTTTGGTGAACTTAGTTATGTTTTAAATATACCTTTAGATCATGAAATAATGTTTCAAATGAATGTAACTTTGCCATTTTGTAATGTATACTGCAATTCGGAAAATGCAGGTCGCTTTTTGTAGGAAATAATCTTGCTTCTGTTTTCTTCCTCCTATAGATTTGAGTATCTTTTTAATTTTGATAATATGTTTGAAATCCATAATGACACTGAAATACTGAATCGAATGGGAATGTCATTTGGCCTAGAGGCAGGCAAATGCTCATCAAAAGACCTAAGAACAGCTAAATCACTAGTGCCTAAAGCTTTAGAAAAATATCTCACAGGTAAGGTAATTATGGTTTTTGCATATTCCTGGTTAAATTAAAAGCCTCTTATTAACAAAGTGTTATTTTTACGATGTCAGACTGTATGAGGATGGCGTTGTTGTGTGATTTATGAAAGTTGGCAGAATTGCATGTCTAGGTAGTAGCTTTAAAGTTAAGCTTCTGGAGCAAGACATTCCAGAATGAATCAAGGTGCTTGAATAGACTGCTGTTCAAAATAGTGCCATTGATAATTTAGAATAATTCTTTTGATGGAAACTTTCTCAGTCTGATGACAGGTTCTTGCAACACAGTAAAGCTCACTGAACTCCATTTTACCACATTAGCAAAAATGATTTCATGCACCAAAACCAGGTTTACAATGCCAATGAATTAGAATAGTAACAATGTCATTTAAAGGGATCAGGTCATGCACAACTATTTTTCATTAGGCAACATGAATGAATTCTGTTATTCCTTTCTCATTTGAAACTACAAGGCTGTTTATTGCTTGTTGTATGGCTGAGTTTTTATGAATTCCATAGTGCGGTTGTTCGTTTTGTTGTTGCTGTTGGAACTTAAGAATGGCCGGATGCTTCTAAGGCGAAAGACAGTGGCTTTTTCATTAAGATTTGTGTGCTGTTCTGTGTCTCGTATTTCTGTCCCTGTGTCTAGATGCCCTAAACATACTGGGATTGTGTTCTTCATTGTTGTTTTTTCTGACAGGAAAGTGGTGTAGGTGAAGTTTCTGCTTGAACATGTAATGAGGGAACGGAGGTCAGAGGACAACCTCTGTGGGAACTGCCAAGCCCCATTAATTAGAGACTTCCAAAAAAAATGCCAAGACAACGGAATCAGACATGAAAATTAAACCCAGCCTGTTTTGGAATCTCTTAGGAATAAAATAAAAATGCTTGCACTGGGTTTAAAAAGTCATGTCTGGTTCCTCAAATTTGCCCACATGGCAGGAGATACTTCATATGGACATGTTTAAAAAAATCAAATCCTGGTCAAGACAGGAACAACTCTAACCAAATTCCAAGTTTTTGGGCCAATCTCACCACAGGTTTGTATGAGTATTTCTGTAGCTCACTACAAAGTGCATTGGAACCTATATCTTGTAACATGTATTAAACATTGTTGCCCTACACCAACTGAACTAGATCTGGTACTGAGATACCCTTAGCAGTTGCTGTCATCCTTCAGTGATATTAAGTCACGTGAACTTGTCATATATGGTATATTAAAACTTCATTGATTCTCTTCCTGCTCAAATAGTTTGATTTATTTATACAGAGTGGCTAATAGACAGTGCAACATGCCATATATTATTAATTAGTGATTGTAACTGCCTTCCTTACATACAAATATAGGATGTTTCAAAATGATGGAATCCATTTCCAAGCAGTAGATTTCACAGTGGCAACATGTTGTCATTATACAAACAGCTACAAATGATTTAATGAGCTATAAAGGTTTACTAAGTATTTTGTGAATGCTCTAAGTTCCTCCAATGTGGTGTACAAATATCGAGAGTCTTACTGAACTGCAGAACACAGAACGCCTTATGTAAATTTATTTATTTATTTATTTATTTATTTATTTATTTAATACACTTGTATACCGCTAATATCTCAGCCTGGATCGGCGACTCATCGCGGTTTAATTAAAAAAAACAATCTCCAATTTAAAAACATATACACATACAGTACAAATTATTGGGCCACCAATAATAATCCCATGTATCTCGAGTTGAAATCACAGTCCAGAATTCGTTGTCCATATTTCCTGTCCATAGTCACCGAAATTCGATTGCCACAGATTAGCCGAATGCTTGTTTGAATAACCATGTTTTAAGTCTCTTCCTAAACACCATCAGCGAAGAGGCTGATCGTATCTCTATAGGGAGGGTGTTCCAAAGCCGGGGGGCCACCACAGAGAAGGCCCTGTCTCTCGTTCCCGCCAGCCGCACTTCTGAAGCTGGAGGGATAGAGAAGGGACTCTCCAGAAGATCTTAGGGTCCTGGTGGGCTGATAGGCTGAGATACGTTCGGATAGATAAGTTGGGCCAGAACCGTTTAGGGCTTTAAAGGCCAACGCCAGCACTTTGAATTGAGCCCGGTAGCATATCGGCAGCCAGTGGAGCTGGTTCAGCAGAGGAGTTGTATGCTCCCTGCGCCCCGCTCCTGTTAGAATCATGGCTGCCGCCCGTTGGACTAGTTGGAGCTTCCGGACTGTCTTCAAAGGCAACCCCACGTAGAGAGCGTTGCAGTAGTCAAGGCGGGATGTAACCAGAGCGTGGACTACCGTGGCTAAGTCAGACTTCCCAAGGTACGGTCGCAGTTGGCGCACAAGTTTTAACTGTGCGAAAGCTCCCCTGGTCACCGCCGAAACCTGGGGTTCCAGGCTCAGCGATGAGTCCAGGATCACCCCCAAACTGCGAACCTGCGTCTTCAGGGGGAGTGCGACCCCGTCTAACACAGGCTGTAACCCTATACCCTGTTCGGCCTTACGACTAACCAGGAGTACCTCTGTCTTGTCTGGATTCAATTTCAATTTGTTCGCCCCCATCCAGACCGTCACAGCGGCCAAGCACCGGTTCAGGACCTCGACAGCCTCCTTAGTAGCAGGTGAAAAGGAGTGACAGAGTTGGACATCATCCGCGTACAGATGACATCGCACTCCGAAACTCCGGATGATCTCGCCCAGCGGCTTCATGTAGATGTTAAACAACATGGGAGACAGTATTGAACCCTGAGGAACCCCACAAGACAAAGGTTGTGGGGTTGAACAGGAGTCTCCCAGTAACACCATCTGAGACCGCCCCTCGAGGAATGAGTGGAGCCACTGCAAAACAGTACCTCCAAGACCCATCCCCGCGAGGCGTCCCAGAAGGATACCGTGGTCGACGGTATCGAAGGCCGCTGAGAGGTCCAGCAGCACCAACAGGGACACACTCCCCCTGTCGAGCTCCCAGCGCAGATCATCCACTAAGGCGACCAAGGCTGTCTCGGTACCATGCCCCGGCCTAAAGCCAGACTGTGCCGGATCCAGATAATCCGTGTCTACCAAGAATGCCTGGAGTTGTGAGGCCACCACACGTTCCATGACTTTGCCCAGAAAGGGGAGATTGGAAACAGGCCGATAGTTGACGAATTGAGTGGGGTCCAGTGATGGTTTCTTCAACAGCGGTTTTATTACAGCTTGCTTTAAGCTGGCTGGAATTTTGCCTTCCCGAAGGGAGGCATTAACCACCACCTTCACCCACTCGGCCAATCCCCCTCTGGCCTCCTTCAGAAGCCAGGATGGGCAGGGGTCTAGGATGCATGTGGTAGCTCTCATTCCTCCAAGCACCTTGTCCACATCCTCGGATTGAACCAATTGAAATGAATCCATCAAAACCGGACAAGCAGATGCTCGTGTTACATCCTCAGATACTGCCGTTAATATGGTATCCAGTCCAGAGCGGATCAAAGCGACTTTGTCTGCGAAGAACCGAGCAAAAGCTTCGCAGCGAGCTGCCGAGTCATCAGGGCACCCATCCTGAGTGGTGGGTTTTAATAGGCCTCTGACAACTCGGAACAGTTCAGCCGGACGGTTCTTCGCAGACGCAATAGTGGCCGCAAAGAAGGTTTTCTTTGCGGCCTTTATTGCCGCGGCATATGCCCTTAAAAAGGACACAAACCGTGTTCGGTTTGGCTCGCTCGGATCCGAACGCCACACGCTCTCTAGTTCCCTCTTCTTTCGCTTCAACGCTGCCAGCTCCTCGGTAAACCAAGGAGCTGGTTTAGCTCGGCTACTTGAGAGGGGACGTTCTGGAGCGATCGTGTCTATTGCCCTAGTCATCTCCCCATTCCAGAGAGCGACCAGAGCATCAACAGGATCACCAACCGCGGTGGCGGGGAATTCCCCAAGAGCCGTCAGGAATCCATCCGGATCCATGAGCCTCCTGGGGCGGACCAATTTAATAGGTCCTCCACCTCTGCGGAGGTTAGGGGGTGCAGTGAGTCTAAAGCTGACCAGGTGGTGGTCGGTCCATGGCAACGGAGAGATGGATAACTCCTCAACACCGCCACCTTCCTCCCATCCCTGGCAGAAAACCAAGTCCAATGTATGTCCAGCACTGTGGGTGGGGCCAGATACTTGTTGGGACAGCCCCATGGTTGCCATGGTAGACATGAAGTCCTGAGCCGCTCCCGATGAGGCGGACTCGGCGTGGATATTGAAGTCCCCCAGCACAAGCAGCCGTTGGGACTCCAACACCAGGTCCGAGACCACCCCTGCTAGCTCAGTCAGGGAGTCTGTAGTGCAGCGAGGTGGACGGTACACTAACAGAATCCCTAATCTGTCCCGGTCACCCACCTTCAGGTGGACGCATTCAAATTTTGTTGACTGCGGGATGGGGGCCCTGGTCAGAAGAATGGTGTCTCTATAGACCACTGCAACTCCGCCTCCCCGCCCTCCGGATCTCGGTTGGTGCTGCACAGAGAACCTGGTGGGCAAAGCTGGGTTAAATTTACACCTCCCGCTTCGTCCAACCAGGTCTCTGTGATGCACGCCAGATCTGCCCGTTCATCCAGGATTAAATCCTGGATGAAAGTTGTTTTACCGTTGACAGATCTGGCGTTCAACAGCACCACTTTCAATTCGGAGGGACCGCCATCCTGGTTACACCGACTTACCATATCAGGAGACCGATTTGGGATTACTAAAGTTGTTCCCCGTTCCCTAGGTCGAATTAAAGGTCTCCCTTTCCCGTATCTCCCCCTCCCCACCACGACTTCTATGGGGGCTCCCCGGTTAACGGAACCCCCTCCCTCCTCCATGACGCAATGAGCAGCCAGAGTATCAACAAACAATGCATTATTGACTGTTTGACATGTTGTGGCTACAGAGTGCCATAGTCCTGTCCTCCATCCGTTTCCCACTCCCACTTTGTAATACTCAAATCCCGCTGGCCTACTCCGTTCCCTCTCTCCAGCATAGGCAATCAACAGCAAAGTTAACAAATACCGGGGGAAGGGTGATGACATGGGTGGTAACTATTAAGGCCTGTCGGGAGAGTATTCCTAGAGTTCTTAAGTGCAAATGGGTCATACAAGATGGTATAAGTAACTAAAGTGCAGTAGCTTTCTCAATCCGCTCTAAAATGCTGGAATAAAGTGCGTCATGGAGGACCTAAAATTCAATGCTAAATGGTACGTTAGATCAATTAAAGGAGTCGCCATCTTGAGAATGACTGAGGCTAGGGAATGTTTATGTGCTGGGAAAGGCACCTAGTGCTTATCATTTGAATCTCTTTGCCTCACCCTTTCAAGTGGTAAGAGTTTCATTCATGGGCAGAGGTACAGCGATTTCAAATTGGGTCCATTTTCTTGGAAACAGTCACAGATTTGGTATGACATTTCCAAACAAGCCCTGAATACACATGCTCAATTTAATGTTGATTTGTTTTATGTTTGTTTTGATCAAAGAACAAGGAAATGGAAGATGTTGACCTGTCTTTATGCACACTATTTCAGAGATTATCCGTTTTCATAATAATAACTATATAATATGAAGCACAGGCTAGATTGATCTAGTTTTCGTTGTTTCAGAAATCATGTGCCTGTGATATTGTAGTGTAAATGTTTCTAGGAAGAGGATAGATGGCCATTAACTGCTTTTGGAAATTTCTAGCTTCTATCTGTTTCTTTGACATAAGTGAGTGCTGATAACCCTTGTCTGAACCTGCAAGGGATTTATCTCTCAATCTAGGCAGTCCATTTTTAAACACTGATGAGTAAACAAGCTTCCAATTTTGATCTCTGTCTGAGTAAAGCTGCCCATGTGGCACAGCACAGGGCTTGTTTGAAGTGTACAATGATTGCATAGAGTGGACAACTAAACTGTGAAAATTGAAAGCTAGGATGTGATATGTTTTCTTATGGAGATGCTACACAAGTAGAGAATCGTATTGCAATAATATAATAATATGATTTTGTTTGGATCTAACTAGGATCTGAATAGCTAAAATATGAAATGCATTTCTCAGGTGTGAAGAATAAACCTTCGATGTTAGGCATACTGGGTGCATGCCTTATGTATAAGAACAGTCTTCTTTTGGATGGTCTTCAGCATGTTGTTGTGAAAGGGTTAATGAGCCAGTGCAGGCATATTATTTTTCGTTCTCTGTGTGCGCGTATATACTGACTACATCTTGTCTCCTATTTATACCACTAAAATCCCCTGTGCAAGAATATGGAAAAATCTAGTTTGTAAAATAAGATACCTTAAAGTTGAATGTTCCTCCTCATGAAACAGCCAGACTGGATTAGACCTATGCAAATAGTCCATTATCTTTTAACTTAATCAAGTTTGTATGTTAGTTTACTATTATGGGAGTCCTAGGATAGTGATTATTGTCTATTTGTATACGTTTCTGTTTTTGTTTTTAATGTTGATACGGTCAGTGGACTAATCAATAAACTTTGTATAATTGTATACATAATAAGGACGGTGCATATAACTATAGATCAACAAACTACTGTTTATGAGATGGAAACAGTCCTTGGTGCTCAATTGTAAAGAGAAACTGGAGCCAATATGACAGGATGACACAATATAAAGGTCCTATACAGTGTTGTGCTAGGACCTGTACTATTCAGTTTTTCTGAAATTGGAAGTGATATTCTTGAAAAAGGATATTTCAGTCCCTCAGAAAATGCACTTCCTTCCCGGATTGCTTTAAAATAGATGAATCTTTGAGGCTTCTGGGGATGGAGTTCTTCATTTTGGAACCACAGATTGTAATACAGTGGTTCTCAACCTGTGGGTCCCCAGATGTTTTGTCCTTCAACTCCTAGAAATCCTAACATCTGGTAAACTGGCTGGAGTTCTGGAAGTTGTAGGCCAAAACACCTGGGACCCACAGGTTGAGAACCACTGTTGTAATGTAATGCTATGTAATGTCCAACTCTGTTGTGGACAGACTAGCATTTGTTTCATGCAGGTAACATATCAAGCTCAAGAAGATGGGAGATGATATAGTCCCAGCTCACAATGTAAATACCCAAGTTTGTAGTGTGTTGCCAAAGGACATGAAAGGGAAAAAAGGGCAGAAAAAGACATAAAGCAACAGAGACTGCTGCAGTTTCAAAAGTGTTGGCAGAACTTCCTCCATCCTTAGAGTGCCAAATAAAAGCAGGCTTTTTAGGACATGAAACTTGTTACATGGGCTCTTAAAAGAAGAATAAATTATTCCATATATGTTTCAGATCAGAAAGAATATTAAACATTTGCTATTTTGTTTTTATGCCATAATAATTTAAGGGGCAGATGCTGTGTGTTAGACTGTGATTGACTTCATGCTTTCTTTTAGATATGTCTACAGGAATTCGTTGGGTGAACCAGGAATTAGTTTTGGATTCAGCTCAATCAGGTTCTACTTTGGGCACAGCTGGGGATTCCACAGTTTTAAAGTCAAGGTAAATAAAATTTGAATATATTATTTCAATCTAAAAAAAAATCTGAAATATTCTTGCGGAAAAGCCAGCTAAGGCACTGTTTTTTCTTACTAAATCCTGAAATATAGTTATTGAGCTGCTACTGTACAAAACCAGAACTGAAGTTGGAAAAGTTATCTTTTGAACTACAGAATCCTCCATCCAACTCTGCTGTTGAAGAGAGTCTGGGAGTTGTAGTAATTCAAACAGCAACATTTCCAAACTCTTGAATAAGACATTTTCATACAGATTACTTTATGATTTAGTCTCCAGATTCAATTTAATGGTCGTGAATGTTTATTTTTAAGCTGGCATGTTTCAGATTGTTGGGAGTGGAAATATTTATAGCCATCTCTTCTAACTCAATGAAATGTTTATTGATATTTTAGGAGCATCTCTTTGTTGTATCTATCCGTTGATTTTTATTTATTTTTTTAGCATTTACCCTGTTTCCCCAAAAATAAGGCAGTGTCTTATATTATTTTTTGCTCCCAGAGATATGCTAGGTCTTATTTTCAGGGAATTTTTTTGTTGAGCAAAAAAAAATGAACATTTATTATATACAGTACAGTAGTTGTCATCACAAACCAGAAAAGCAGACACCCCCTAAAGAATCAAAGTGACACAGTGGTTGCCTAACTCAACACAGGGTCACAAAAAAATAAGGTCTGTAAGGTACCTTCTCCCATACACTGTCTGGAGCAGGCCCGTAGCCAGGATTTCGATTCGGGGGCGGGGGGGACTGAGTTTGGTTCGGGGGGGAGGGCTGAGTCTCTCCCCCCCCCTCTCTCTCTCTCTCTCTCTCTCTCTCTCTCTCTATATATATATATATATATATAAACCAATATTTTTTTTTCTCATGTTGTTTTTTCAGTAGTGCAAATCCGGGGCTATGTCTGGATGCTGAAGTGGGCTTAGCAGCAGAACAACTTCTAATTCACGGCAGCCAGCAGTCCAGCAGTGCAACGTCCCATTACTCAGAATCATGTGGTGAAACTCCTTGCTCCTTCAGTGATGAGGAGGACTAATCTTCACCACAATAAAGACTCACCAAGGGAAATGTGCTCTTGTGCACTAGTCATGTGAGCTTACATTCTGTATGTAACCTCTTCTAAATTTTGTCTTTGCCCTCTGTACTTTGGTGAAGTTTGGAAAAGGTTTATGCACAGAGACAAGAGAACTGCAGGAGCAGTGTAGTGTTACAGGGTGGGTAAAGAACATGATTGCGTGTTCGAACCTTGGCACATATTAGAAAACATGGGTGACTCTAAATAAGTTAATGGATTATTTTGTGTTAATGCTGTCTGTACCTGTATCCAGTTCGAAAGGATAATATGGAGTTCCTCCTCCTCTCCAGTGCGCTGGACATAGAGATAAATCAGACTGAGGTGCAACAATGACAGGCTTTATTTGCCACCAGAACATCTAATTACAAGGCAAACCTATGTGCATGCATTGCTGCTTATATTAAATAGAGATCCAGTAGCTAAGTGCTTACATCTCCATGCTGTAATCCTGGTTGAGAGTCTGCCTATTGAGGAAGGAGCTTCTTACAAGGTCTGGCATGGGAAGTGGAGTCCAGAGGGAGGAAGGGCACAATTCTGCTTGTTGTATTGAAGGACAGTTCTTCGACATGCTCACTGTGTCAGATTTCAGAAGTCTTTTTCTTCTGGAAAATCGCATATTTAAAGCCACCATGTGTAAAGAAATTATAGTAAAGGTGTACTGATGTAGGTTTTGGTCTAACCCAAGCGTGGGCAAATTTCAGCCCTCCAGGTGTTTTGGACTTCCAACTCCCACAATTCTGTTCAAAACTTCTGGAGGGCTGAAGTTTGCCCATGCCAGGTCTAACCTGCTTGCTAAATACAGACATGATATAAACTCATAGTGGCAAAAGGTTTGCGCTTAAAGTCCTCCATTTTAACTTTTCTAAATTTAGCACTTGTTTTTTCTCAAAGTTATCTTTCCCCCTTCTACAATCCGTGATTGAAGTTGAGATACTGTATTTTCTGAAGTTGCTAGTTTGTAAAGTGAAAAATAAAAAATATTGAGGAAGTTTTGAAAAAAAATAGCAATACTAAATACTAATTTTTAATTGATCTAGATGATTTCCAATGTTTATAAACTAAAAAGAAGGATGGCAAAAGTCTAAATTGTAACCTGTTTTTCCACAGAAGACTTTTTGCATAAACTCTTACATTTCAATCAAATTCATGTAATTTTAGTTAACAGATAAGGAAATGTAAAAGTCATTTTTGCTTTATAATAATGTTATGCTGCACTCATGGACTATAACAGATATTTAATTAGAACTGTCTTCAGAGGACTAAAAGGGAAAAAATTGAAACTCTTTAAACTCAGGTTTTTAAAAACTAATCTATAAAGCCATAATAGTTTGTTGATAAATGCGAATCTTGCAGTGCTGTTAAGGAAACTCATGTTTCAACAGTAGTAGCATGGATAGAAAGATAGCAGTTTACTATAATAAATATTATTCACTAAGGAACAATTTTACTTTTACTTTCTCTAAATTAAGCAAGTTTAAGTGTTAGGATATAGTTTAGGATATGTTAAAGCAATACCCTCATCTGCTGTTAGAAATGGTGGGAGTTGAAGTCCAAAACACCTGGAGGGCTGAAGTTTGCCCATGCCTGATCTAGAGTTTTAATTTATTGGGCCTTACTATCCAAAAAAAGGAGATCCTTAGCCCCTTGATCAATAAGCAGGAAGAAATGGTACAATAAAACCCAGGTCACTTTCATCTTCAACTTTTAATTCGTTGTTTCAAAAATCTGCTAAATAGGGGAATATGCTCAGGAATATTTTAACTTTGTTGGTTCTGAAGTAGAAACATTTGCTATGACAAATTATCTTAGAGTACACTTTTTAAAACTAGAGAATAATTAAGAGCAGACTGCTGTACTATGCTGTGAATCTTGTTTTAATAGTGTTGAGTTGGAAATGAGATTTAGTTTTGATTTTTAGAAATCTCCACTGCCAATTACCTGATTCTCCAGCGTTGTATGAGTATTTTGACAGACCGCTGTGGGTGTATAAACAATACCAGGCCTCGGGATGTATTCTTTAACAATAATAAAGTTACATTTATTTTTAAATATATTCCTTTTGAACTCTAGTATGGGAAAGTGGTTGAATTTACTGGAAATTTCAATCATTTTAAAAATGAAATAGGACAATCAGATCAGTATAGTTGCTCACAAGTTCTTCTCTGACTGTGTGATATTTTTCTATATGGCCCCAGAAAATAAGAGCAATTGCTCTTAACGGGGCTTTTAACTTGGACCATTATTGGATATATTTGTTTTGCTTTTATGGGAAATTTTAATTCTTGATTTTCTCAAAGTCTTTGAATCAAACAATCTTACTATACTAATTCTCATTATTGTAACTCAATATTGTCTCTAGAACTAAAAGTATAACTCAAGAAGTATTGACAGAGAATTAGGAAGAATTCTTGGCATTAGTTCTATAAACCACACAGTAAAGACAGATAATCATTTCCTATGTTCACATTAGAAAAACTTGCCTCAGTATTAAGATCTATTTTTTCTCTTATAAGAAATACTTTATGGTCTCCTCCCTGTAATGAAGAGACCATAACCAACCTTCTGTTTTTCAGACACAGAAGCATCCATGTCTTTACCAAAACCTTGATAGTGTAATTTCTCCATAGTGAATGACCTAAAGGTTTGTGTATATGTTACTCATCACTTAGACACTCCTTGGAATTCTGGAAATACGGAATTTATCACATAATTGTGACAATTTGTATCACTAGCTGCTGTATACTACAGGCATGATATCTTAAGTGATCTTTATATGAGCTGGAGACATGTAACCAACCTCTGCAACAGGACACTTTATTCTGTAAGTCAGAAATCAGAAGATGTAATGTTCCATGAAGTAACTAGCTATTTTTAGATCCTGCTTTAATGTTATGATTTTGGGAAGAGGATGCTGGATTGTTATTTTATGATTTGGGGATAATTTTAATTTTTAAGGCTACACATTATATATGCAATTTGTCTGGTGAGTTAGTGTGAAAGTGTGGTTGTATTCCATATAAAGGCAGAAATCAGACACAAAATTTGCATATACTTTTATGTTGAGACTGTTGCAATTAGAAATAAAACAACTTTGATCAAAGTTGTAAATTGTTACTTTGTAGTATCATACATTTTATAAATAGATACCTGTTATTTTTATGGGAATTTTATATAAGAACCTGTTTTATGTATATTTAAAATGATCCAGTATTTTATTAAAATCCTACAAGCGAGGATTGTGCAGAATAAAGCAAGTATTTGCATTTGATTGAATCAAAAAAGCATGCATACTCTCAAGAAAAAATAATATCCAGCTGTTTGTGACCTGAAAAGTAAAGCTAAACTGTAGAACAGAATAAAATCCTTTCAAGGCGACTGGGGTTACTTTTGTTTTCAAGCAAAATACTGTGGCAGAGGAAAGCTGTCAAAGGTTAGTGTTCATTGCATGTGTTCTCCATTTCAGAAAATGTATCTTAGAGAGTAAACTGCAGGGGAAACAGGGTCAAGTCAAGCTGATGTTTTCAAAATAAATATAAAACATGACTAATTTCAGCGCTTGGTAGGGTCTAGCACAATATCCAGTTGATTTTCTTGTTTCTTAACTACACTGTGTGTTTCTTCCCTGTCCTCCTGCAGACCATTTTACATATTCCTGGCAATTCAAATACTGGAAATTGCATTTTTTTTACAGCATAGTCATAATGTTGTTTACTTGGAAGCTGAGTCCCACAGAGATCAATGGGATTTGCTCCCAAAATGAATGTGCATGGAATTTCAGCCAACATAACCTTATCAATTAGGAAATTATCCAATTATATCTTAAGCAAAGTTAGTAATGATTGTGTGTGTGCCTTCAAATCATTTGTCATGTCACCCCATGAATTTCATAGGATTTTTCTTAGGCAAGGAATACTCAGAGGTGCCTTTGCTCTTAATTACAAATAAATCCATTAATTATAGTTCGTTACCTTTGGTGAGAAAGGAGAAACAAAGTTACATTTCAAAAATAATGTAAGTAGGAGTACTTTGTTGTTATAAAGTAAGGTGTTTATTGCAACATGTTGATTTTCCTTTTGTAAGCTTTGCTGTTTTGAGAACAGCATGAATGTGTAACTTGCATCTCAGAGGTTTTTGCATCTTATGCTAAAATGTACTAAAATGGCTGCAGATCTGAATCTTTTATCTGCCTCATGCATACTGATAGGATGGTGTTATCTTTATTTTTAAAACAATGGTTTGGAAACAATAACAGATATGACAGCATGGTTTTGTTGTCTTGTTCTCCTTAACTTTGTGAACTTTGCTTTCGATGTGCTAATGCATCATATTGCTTTTATCAGTGAAGTAGAATGCAGCCAGATGAGTAGACAGACATCAACAAACTTGGTATTTAAAAGGCAAGCAACTGAGTCCTGCCCAGTATCTTGATCCGCAGCAGGCAAGAAAAAAAGAGTACGTCCTTGGAAATAAGATGTAGTTTTCCCTTCAGCCTCTTCTTGTCTTGCTGCAGCTCTCAGCCTCAAAGGAAGGCAAAGTCAACCCCCTTCTGGGCAAACCTTGCCAAGAAAAACCTGTCATAGGGTTGCCTTAGGGTCCTCCATAAGTCAGAGATGACATGAATGCATACAACAACAACAAAACAGCATTCTACAGGAAGCTGAAAATATAGAAATAAATACAGGATATAGTCCATTCTTCCTTCTCATATGCATTTGTTTAGACTTTTCTCAAAACTGTAGTTGTCTCATTGGCAGTTTGAGTAAGGAGCCCCCGGTGGCTCAATGGGTTACACTGCTGAGCTGCTGAACTTGCTGAACGAAAGGGGAGCAGGGTGAGTTCCCACTGTTAGCTCCAACTTCTGCCAATCTAGCAGTTTGAAAACATGCAAATGTAAGTAGATAAATAGGTACTGCTCTGGTAGGAAGGTAACGGCACTCCATGCAGTCATGCTGGCCACATGACCTTGGAGGTGTCTACGGACAACGCTGGCACTTCGGCTTAGAAATGGAGATAAGCACTAACCCCCTGAGTCGGACATGACTAGACTTAATGTCAAGGGGAAACCTTTACCTTTACCCTAATTAGGATTTCCCACAGTAGGAATATTGGCTTGCTTCATTGACCATCTGATGTTGTAGTACAAGAAGAGCTCAGAGGAAGTTTATGTAGAAAAAAAACTGATTTAATCCTATGGATTGAATAGGCCTTGGTCTTTGTCTGATCTTGATTAGATGGCTAGAAGGATGTACCAGAGCTGTGATGAAAGGTTCCTTTTCATGAGAAGCCTGAGAGTCTTAATCTTGACCGACAAATTAGTAACTCTCTTTATGCAAAGTATTTGTCCAAAGACACTGTGTTCTCTATTCATTTTTAGTAATAGAGGCAATATAACATATTTGTTTTGTTGATATTATTACTAGTTAGAGGAGTAGAGATGAGTTTTGTCATTCAAAGAAAAGTGAAGATCGGAAAAAGTCAAAACAGGAAAAATGGCATTATTCATTAAACTCTGCTTCAACCCTACATGTTGGATAAAGAGCCATGTTTGAACAATGTCTTCTTTGTAAGTATTGTTGAAGCCAGGCACTGGGAAAGGCTGTGTTAATTAAAAATACCAGTGTTTGTTCAACCGCCGAAATACTGAGCATGATATGTGTAGGTTGTTCCTCAGGACATGCTCTAACTCCCATGCTCTAACTTGTGAAACATTCCTTTAATTCTTGTGTTGTAAAGAAAGTTATTTGCCTATTCCTGCTTAGACTTCTACGATACATTTGTTTTATTAGGTTACTTCTCTACATAGGTTAGATTTACAGATTTTATAAGCAACCCTTTTCCTCCTCTCCTGCCTGCCTGGGATTCTTTAATAAGTTGCTCTTGTTTTTTTCGCCCATTATTTTGTTCTCTTGTGTGTAGACTCACTGAACAAGAACACAGTTCAAGTGACCTTGAAAATCTTTGCCAAACTCTCAGAAGCATCCCAAATGAATTATAGTAATCACTAATTCTTCATATATCCCATATCACATGATCTCAAGGCAGGTCCTGAATTCAGAACAGAAGCATGTTGGCAGCCAATGCAGTTGCTTTATGACCGTTGTTCTAGGCTGAACTATCTTCAAGAGCAGTCTTTGGAGTGCTTTACAATAGTCTTATCAAGAAATTATTGTTGCAAGTACTAAAAGTACTTAGTTGTCCATATCCAGGAAAGGCTATTGCTGTAAACAAGTTGAGGTGGCAGACCTGGGCTTCCAAGGCCAAAGATGGATCCAGACGTACTCCCAGGCCAAATGCCTGCTGTCTCTATCTATAGTCCAACAGCATCCAAAACGGCAATGTCTTCTGCACTGTGGCTATAATGGCAATGGGTTTGTAATCTATCTGTTTCAAAGCACAACTGAATGTGCTGGTTATGATCAAAACAGCTTTTATAAAGCCAGAGTCCAGCAATAATAAGTTATTTTTGTGTAACTAAATGCATTCTGATCCAGAAATAGTGCATGGCTTCTGGGAACAAATTAGTTGTATTTCCTTGCCTTAAGGAATGGCAAAGATATCTTGCCAAGCAATACTATACCAGCTTTGCTTTTAAAAGCTTTCCTTCTACATTTTGCTGGGTTTTTAAGTGAATATTTCAAGCAGCAAACACATATACCAGATAGCCCTAAAAATCAGTTATCCTATTCAGATTACAATCCAAGAAAGTGAAGGCACAGGATATGAGTCAGAAGATCTAGTTCTAACTATTTCTGTTTTTGAAATCTTTTGCCACTTATTTTGAATACCACCACTCAACAATACATAGGCACAGGCAGGTTGGGACAGTTATCATAGCCTCTAGCATGGGCAAGATAATTATATGTGAATAAGTAGGTACCGTAAAGGTGTGTATTTCCTGGAACGTTCTGAAGTCAGTACCAGTGTAAGACTTGCTTTAAGCCCTGATGCCAGAGAACAATGCCCCAACCTGTAGACATAGTTTTGGCTTGTAGTACTCTACAATTACTCAAGTATACTCTAATTAAGAAGTCAAAATTATTGCATTGAGAGAGAGGGAGAGGTATTTATTACAGTAATCATACAGAAACTGTGTTAATTTTTTGTTATAAGAAAATGTACTGCTAAAAGTGCATATTGTTTTCGTAAATACATATCATTTTCATCCTTCCTGTCTAAATAAAAACATGCAACAATCAAATTATCTTTTCCCAAATCTCGTTCATGGATGTTATATGGACTTCCTTAGTTTCAACTCCTGGTTTTGTCTGATTTGATTTTTAGCTTCAGTTTTGTCTACCTTTGCATCCTGATAGATTTGTGTGCTTCTATGAACCAAGAAGCTATGCTATCAGTAGCACTGCTGCTGGTAGTACCTCCTGTGTTAGATGGGCTTTTGTAGAGGAGCCAGACTAAATGTGCCAAACACTGACCTGGGAGTCACAGTGGTGACAACTGATAAAGGATCTCTCATAGACAACAGCCATGACATTTTTGTGATTGTGTGCCTTCAAGTCGTTTCCAATTTATGGTGGGGGTTTTGTGGCAAGATTAGTTCAGAGGTGATTTGCCTTTGTCTTCCTCTGAAGCTGAGTTTGACCTGCCCAAGATCTCAGCTGAGGCCTGAATGGGGATTTGAACTGTCATACTCCAGTGTTAAAACTACTACACCACCCTGACTATTTAGCTCACTCTAAAAGAGTTAACATTGCATAGAAGGCACTAGTGAACCACTTCTGAATATCCTTTACCATGAAAACCCAATTTTGAGACAATGCAAAGTTAATTAAGAGACTGCTGGAAGATGAGACTCCTGGGTCAGAAGGCACTCAACCAGCTGCTGGAGGACCAGTATGAAGGCATAGCATTGTTCCTAATGACACAACTAGATTCAAGTCAAAAGGATTTGTAGCTGCTGATGTGCTCAGATGTGAAATAGACGTCCAAAGCTGCCAAATATAGATAACATGAAGAGCTTGAAATAAAACCAGAGGAAAGTACTTTATAAAACAAGAAAAAGAACATGCAAAAATTGCAATATCTGTTGTAAGCAAGTTAAAGTGGCCAGGAATGGAACGTTTTCGATTAGATAATTACTCAGGACATGTAAATTCCCAAAAAGCAAGGTGACATTACTAAAGGGAGAGTTAGAAAAGGCAATCAAGAAATATAATGCAAAGTTCAACTAAATATTGGTAAGAGTGCAGGAAAAAGCCATCATGTATATGTGGGAAACAGAGCAGAACCAAACATTGTTGGAGCATTCAGCCTAGAATGAAGAAACAAAGCAGGAGAGTAATTTTTTGGATATTGAGAGGTCAACAATTTGAGGCTTGTGCGTAGGGACAAAGAGAACTCTTGTAATGATCAGTGCAAAGAAACAGAAGAAGAAAACAAAACAAACAAGGTAGAAAAACAGTCGTTTTGCAAAAGATTTCAGAAACAAAGTTAATCTTAAGAGGCTTAAGAGAACCTGGGTAAATGGAAACTGTGGGTAAATGGAAACTGTGGCAAAAAGAGATTTCATGGCTGCTTGGTGGCAGCGAAAGTAGAAAGGTAATCATGCCGAGGCTTTTGGAACTACTAATCGGGACAATGCAACATATCGGGGACTCAAAGTTCTCAAAATGCCTTGGTTTCAGTTTCCAAATCACCACTGGGTTTTTTTCTTTCTTTATGCTGGAATTATTAACTAAATTGTCCATTGCTGCCAGATGTTATGAGGGAGGATGGGGTTTTTTTTGGCTTCATAGTTGCTTTAATAAGGAGATTTATAGGAATGATGAGTCACTGACATAGTCTTTATGCTCCAAGCTGAAATTTGACAGTAGCCTAAGAGGAGAAGCAGAGCTTTATTATATTTACAATTACTTTCTCGTCTGATTAGCGTAACTGGGATATGAGAACCATGATCATTAAGGCTTCCAGAGACAACCGGAATATTTTTTGCTTTTAATGTATGCTAGCGGTGTGGTGCTTTGAAAGAGAAAGACTGGATATAAGTATTTTAAATAAGCTTTTGCTAATGCAGTTATGTCAGAGAATTATCTTTCCTTTCCAGTTCTTGAGTGCATTTAGGTCAGATCCAACTTATGGCAACCTTGTCATGAGGACAGTGATTCAGAGGAAGGTTGCCATTGCCTTCTTCTAAGGCTGAGAGTGTGAGTTCTCAAGGGAATCTGATGAGCTATCTTGGCTAAAGGGGTATTCAAACCTCCCAGAATCCTAAGCCCATCACCCAAAACTACTACACTTCACAAGCTCTAGTGCTTCAACGTGGCTGGTGTCCAGAATTCATTTGAAAGGTAACTTTGTGTAGAGAGATGTACAGTAGCTGAACCTGCCTCTTATCAGGGTATGGATCACAGTGGCTAGTACCTGTGAAACAAGCAGCAGGTATGAGTTTGCTGTTATTCTTTGGCTTTAAATCAACTCCAACTTGGAGTATCCTAAGGTTATATTGGAAATATTTCTTCGGAAGTTTGCCACCGGTTCCTTCTAAGACTAAGAGTGTGATCCACGACCTCTAGTTTGTTTCCAAGGGCTGGGTAAGGATTTGAATCCTAGTCTTCCAGAAATTTAGTTTACCTTTCAAAGTATTATATTATGCATAATTGATAACAAGAACTTTCCAGCACCTGCTTCTCCACGAGTCTCCTTCCTTTATTTAGGAAACACATCACCTAGAATCCTGACTTTGGAAGAATCCATACTGCAGTGAAAAGGAAAGACAAGAGAATTCTAATAACATTATATACCAGGCAGACATATTAGAAGAGCAGATCCATGACCATGTGAGACAATGTGGGGTAAGGGGCTGTTTCTTGTGCAAGTCACTAAGATTGTGCAAACCAATTCAGTCAACGAGGTTGCAATGCCCCTCCAAAAAGGATAGATAGAAAACCTGTCATACATAAATTGAGTCTTGCTAGGGTAAATCAAGGCAAGGGCCTTTAATTACACCAAGTAGGGCTTATAGCCTTAGAGTGGATTCTGTTCTGCTTTAGCTGCAATTGCATTTCTATTTGTCAAAACACATCTGTCACATGCATAAAAGGGCCCATGGCAGTTTCAAGCAGTGGCACACATTACATAACTTTTAACCTGGATTTCATTGCCTTGTTACTTAGGGTTTTTTTTTAAATGGGGGGACAGGGTTGGTTACAAATCAGATTGTACTAAACTGCTACATTTCATTTGACATACTATTCAATATGGAATAAATAAAATAGAGATGCACATATTAAACTTTTTTTCACAGGTTTTATTGAACTTGATAATAAATGGAAATCCTTTTGTAACATGGAGTAAAAATACTCTTTTAAGGTGTTTGTCTCCTCAGCGAACATCTTAGACCTTCACCAACAAGATACCTGATGAGACAAAATCTCATCAGAGCCACAGTTGATCCAGGCTGAAGACAGGAAAAGGCAGGTGAAAAGTAGTAGCAAGCCCACTTTTTGCTTTGCACAGAACCATTTCATAGGGGTACAATATTCAGTGTGAAATCAATTCCTACAGGAGGAGTACAGATAGGGAGGTTCTCCAGACTGAATCACTCCGTGGCAGAAGACTCAAAGAGGCAGACTCTAATACAAGAATGTACAACTCTTTTCTGCTTTGGCAAAACTCCCAGTCTATACTCTGCAAGACTGAATAGGCCATAAGAACAAAGCTTAGTCATGCTTTCAAGTTTTCTTGTTTGCAGTGATCAGTTTATATTCAAAGAGTCAAGGATGGAGACAAGCAAATCACTATGCATTCGTTATCTTATCATTTGGAGCAAGCACAGATTTCAGACAAAAAGGGTGGGAGAAAAGGAAGAGTGAATCTTGAGAGCTTTTGATCTCATTATTTGGTAGCATTCAGAGGGTAGCTGTGTGTCCTTATTTAAGGAACGCATGGACAAACTTCAGACCTGTAGATTCTAGTTTGTTGGTCTATATCAGGCCTACGGGCTGGATATGGCCCTCCACGGCCATTTACCCACTCCCACCCTAAACTTTAGACTTAGTCATCCTCAGTCTGAAAGAACTTGAAGGCACATAACAACAATCCTAATTAACTTGAAGATCTCAGCCAAAAGTAGGCCCACACTTCCTATTAAACTACTGGCAAGTTTATGTTGGATAAAGTTGTCCTTTATTTTAAATATTGTATTGTTCTTTCGTGTTTTCTGAACTACAAATAAGGTATGTGCAGTGTTGCATAGGAATTTATTCATTAAAAAAAAAACATAGTTCCTCAGACTTTTGGAGGTGGGGGGCTGGACGATGAACCAGCCCTCAGCTGTAAAAGTTTGAGTACCCCTGGTCTATACTAAAAAAAATCCCGAAGATCCACCACTCCAAATCCAGTGCTAAACAGTAGTCATCGGGGACATCACTGTACTGATTAAGGAACTCTTAAGAACATCTAAAGCCCAGAAATCTGACTGATCCTTGCTAACATTTTTATGCACAATTGCCACAAGTTTAGTGGAGACTGAGTGGTGGCCTAAGACAATTTGCTACCTCAGGCACAACATCAAATGCCACCTCTTTCCCCTGCTTGAAAGTGTGTAGTACACAAGGTAGGTCAGGTTATTCTGCATTTGAGGCACATGTCTCACAAGTGTTAGGCTCCCCATTCCTGGGATTGTGGGAGCGGTGATAAATGACCCATTAATCAAGTCAGCATATTTTTATGGCATCCAGATTCAGTTGCCTGAAATGGCAGCTCCATTCTGTCTAAAAAATGGGTGCCTCAGAAATGAATGACACCATAATTGACAAGACACCTTCACAGAAAACACTAAATATAAATATAATTGGCATAAATCTGGATTTAATATTTAGAACAATCTCATAGAAGTCAATGTGATAGGAATTACTAGAACTCAAAAGAACTGGATGTGAAATTATGAGTCCTACTGGATACAGTATTATTATGAATTTAAAAAATATATAAACATTTATTACTGTCTAAGTCATGAGTAGGCAAAGTGCAGCCTGCAGGCCTCATGAAGAACCATTTTCTACCCTCGGGTTAAATGTGTTTTTTGCCTTCCCTCCACAAGCCCCCCTCCAACTGTAAAACATTTTGGTTTACTAAAAATGTCCTCTAATGCTGTTTGTGGTCTCCTGGGGGTCTAATACAGCCTTCCACAATTGACCACTCTTACCCTAAGTAAATGTCTGAATACGAAATGCTTTTCTACCC